CTCCCTTTTTTCTCCATTTTTAATTTAAATTAGAAACAAGATTGTTTTACATGTCAATCCCAGTTCCCTCTCTTTCCCTTCTTCCCTGAACCCCTTCACCTAACACCCTATATAATCCCATACCTTTCTGCTCCACAGTGAGGGTGAGGCCTTCTATAAGGGATCCTCAGAGTCAGTCCTATCCTTTGGGATAGGGCCTAGGTCCTCCCCTGAGTGTCTAGGCTCAGAGATATACCTCTATGTGGTATGGGCTCCAAAAGTGCATTCCTATCTAGGGATAAGTACTGATCTACTACAAGAGGCCCCATAGATCCCCAAGGTCTCCTTACTAACACCCATGTTCATGGTGTCTGGATTAGTCTCATGCTGGTTTCTCAGCTTTCAGTCTGGAGAGTAAGAGCTCCCCCTTGTTCAGGTCAGCTGTTTCTGCAGAGTTCACCTGCCTTGTCTTGACCACTTTGATTATCACTCCTCCTTCTCTGTAACTGGATTCTATTTCAGTTCAGTGTTTAGCTGTGGGTGTCTGCTTCTACTTGCATCAGCTGCTGGATGAAGGCTTTAGGATGGCATATAAGTTAGTCATCAATCTCATTATCAGAAGGGGCATTTAAGGTAGCCTCTCCTCTGTAGCTTAGATTGTTAGTTGGTGTCATCGTGATAGATCTCCAGATATTTCCCTAGTGCCTGATTTCTATTTAAACCTATAATGCCTTCTCTATTGTGTTATCTCTTGTCTTGCTCTCCTCTAATCCTCACTTAAAAAAAAAAATCTCTGATTGGTACAGAACAATGAGGATGTTGCAGTCTCCAATGTTCATTTGTGTATTTCAGGTTCCAGGCCATCATATGATTCAAAAGTGGAACTATATTCAATACTTTGTGAAGATATTTCGTCAAAAGGTCATGAAATGTATGGTAGGCATCCCTAGAGGTCTATGAACACATACTCTACAGAATAAGGGAGTTTCTTTCTAGAACAAGTTTTCTCAGCAATCTTTGTTCATCACAGATGATGTATGTTGTGAAGACTACTTTTCATTGGATTGTATGGAAGATACAGAATCCATGAGCATGATGAACAACTCAGATTTTTCCACCAAGAATCCCAAGTTGCAAAATGACCACAAAGGTGAATTGGACCTCAGATTATGTCTCTGACTTATGGTAGCTATAAATTAACCTTCCATGATCTTCATCTTAGACCTTTCTCTACCTGTGGGGCAACTTACCTGAGGCAGCAGGATGGAGGAGAGATTTGATATTCCTGTGTATTTGCCAGAATGAGTCTAGCTTCACTAATCTACAATACAGTCCAGAGGCTACTGTAATTGAGTAGCCTCTAGTTCTTTGAGTCCCCTTGACAATCTCTGTTTACACAGTCCACCTGTCATTAGGACTTGACCCCAGCAGACTCTGCTGCTGTTGTGTTCAGAACCCAGAGCAACTGGTCATCCCTTACAGATTAGGAATAGTCAGTGGACATCCTGCAGAACCCTCACAACAGCCTCCTATTTCAGGAGACTGCCTCAGTTAGGCTGTGATCCATAATTTCCCCTGTCATATCTCTTTCATTTTTCACAAAGGTTTTGGAGAAAATGCCATTCTGCACCTGATTTCCCTCCAAAAGGCAAATGGCTCCTGGGAACTGGATGAGGAACTGACTGAGATCCTGGGCACTAGTTTGGAAGACATAAAGGCTGCAAATCCTGCCAAGGTGAGATGCAAAGTGTAACAGAGGAAACAGAGTGTGCTTCATCATCCTAGCAACATAATTACAATTAAAATAAACCAGGGTCAAGCTGAGAAATAAGAATATAGATAAAGCAAAGTTGAAATTAATGTGTAATATATAGTGGATAAAATTATTTCAAATTAAGCCTAACATAAGGAACATGGAATTAGTAGCTTAGCTGCTGTAAGGCATGGTCAGACAGATGGACATTAATGGGAAAATAAGTGTTTTTTTGTTAATAGTATTCCCTTAGATATATTTGTAAAAAAAAATTTATCTTCATTCTGTACAAGATAATTTTTAAAGCACTTAGTATTAATATACTCACTTTTCCTCAATTCAGTCAATTAAGGTAGGTACTATTCATGTAGTTATATATAGATAAAGAAATAAAACATTAAGAATATGAATACTCTGCACTAGCCAATGCAGAACTAGATTCAATTCTAGGATGTCCTGTCCACTGAGACTCCAATAACAGTCCCTGTATCTCTTTTTTTTTAATGTTCTCATATATGCTAAATAAGGAATAAACCTTATCCAGAGTTTGAAGTTCATATTCTGGATCTTATAATAATATTTGAAAAAAATCTCTTCATAAAAACATATACCAAATCATCAAGGATAAATACACTTCTGAGTTATTAAAATGTGAGATTCAAATAAATATACTTTACATATTCTATAGTTATACTACTTGTACTATATCTTCTAGTCATGCCTGGCTATTAAGCTTGTGATATGTGGTGAATGAAAATGAGATGTAAATTTTTAGTCAATAGAGTTATCAATGCTGTAAAATACAAAAGGACTTAAATATTTAGGGTGAAACAATGGAGATATTTCATGAAAATTGTTTCACATTGGCTGCTTGACAAAATGGTAATACCTTTAACATTTTTTATTACTTAAGTATTTTATTTGTTTGCAACTATGCTTGCTAACACTATATAATGAAAATGTACAAAGAATAATGTTGCAGTTTTTGGTTAGATTTAAGTCAAAGGCATTCATTAATAAAGAATCTTCAAATGTGAATACCCCAGATATGTCCTTAAGCCATGAGTTCTCAACAACTGTCTCTGAGCATCACCCTACTTTAGAAGACATTGGCAAACATTTGAATTGAAACTCATGAGTTTTCCAAAATAAAGCTGTAATTAATAAAACTATTCTATATTCAAACTAAAACAATTTTAATAAAACTTTCCTTTCAAAAACAATACCAAAGGAAACAAGGCATTTTGTTAAATGTGGTCCTGGACAAGTCACAGTAAAAATAAATGTATATGTAACTCCCACCTCCTCAAAACAGAGGCTGCTTTCTACTCACAGGCTCGGGACCAAGGTAGAGAACAAGTAACTTCAGGCAGGGAGGTGCCAAAACCAAGCTCCAACAGTTGAACACAGACACCTTAGGGGAGTTTGGGAGAACTTGGACAAAAGAAACAGATTCTTTGTTGAAAATGATGAGAAGGTGAAGTGGCTCCTCCCAAGTAGCAGTGCTGCAAGGCCTGGCCCAGTCATGCACTCTCCTTTGTTATGCTCCGAGCACACCCTGATGTACTGCTCCAGGGGAGAACTTTTTCCCTGTAGAAGTCCAGTGCCCAGGGAGCTCCGTGACTGTATGAATGACTCCACAGGGTATTTTAAGTCTTGGAGTAAAGTATTTTTCCAGCACAGCTAGGCAGAGTGCTTTTATTGATGACCTGTCTCCAGTTTGTTCTAATTTCTCACCATGTATTTGCAGATTCAGGACTGCAGACCTTCCCTGCATCATCATAATCATGTCTAATGTCCATCTTAACTTATAATTCAAATTCTGTGCCTGAAAACAGTCCCTGTATTTAACGATAATAACTACACATAATACAATCCACTGATACAACTTATATTGTCACCAAACATTAATGATATTCTTTAGACCAAAAAATGTTTCTAACCATAATTGCCATGCATCAAATTCACAGCCAGAATCCCCAAGATCAAAAAATGTTTTGTACAATACAAATAATAACTTAAAACACACACACACACACACACACACACACACACACACAGTCTCACACACTTCTCACAGAGCTATGCTTGGGGAAACTCCACTTATTGAGTGCCACTGAAGGCATTCTTTGCTAACCTGCTGCTCCAGGTACTTTTGTTTGGAAAACCTATCACAGTAGGCTACAGCTGTTTCATGGATGAGCAGAAAAGAAAGTTATGCTTGTGGCAAACAGAAAGTTTTAAGGTCTTTCAAGTTGTATAAAATGAATCTGCAGAAACATTTAAGTGCTCTCAGGATGCAAAGTTGGAGCTGAAATGTGATAACAAACCAGTTGCAAAAAGTGTACAGCAGCCATAAATTTAGGTCACACCTGGTATCCAGATAGGCAAGAAGGCTTCAGGATACATAGCTTGTTGGCCTTGTCCCATATCACTGCATAATCTGATCATGTGTGAATTTCACAAAAGATTCATACTGTTCTGTGAGGTAGTACTGAGGATCTGCTCGTACTCCTCCCGGACTTTATCTTCATAGACTTTTAACAGATACTCACATATTATCCCCACTTGTTGGGGGGTAAAGGTGGGCTGGTCTCAGGGCACCTGGAGAACTTGGTGCCCTGAGTTCGGAGGAGAGAGGCTGGCTTTCTGAAGTACAAGCTTCACTCAGACTAAGAACAGCCTCTAAATGTCTCCACCTCTTACAACGTCTCTATACTTTTTTCCATTTTATTTATTTTTTATTTTAATTAAAAAGAATATTATTTTTCATGTTAATCCCAGGTCCCTCTCCCTCCCCTCCTCCACTACCACCCCCAAACTAATACCCCATCTGTCCCATACCCTTTCTGTTCCCCAGGGAGGGTGAGGCCCTCCATAGGGGGGGCCTTCAAAGTCTGTCATATCCTTTGGGATAGAGCCTAGGCCAACCCCCTTGTGTCTAGGCTCATGGAGTATCCCTCCATGAGGGATGGGTTCCCAAAGTCCATTCCTATGCTAGAGATAAGTACTGATCCACTACAAGGGGCCCCATAGATTTCCAAGGTCTCCTCACTGACACCCACATTCAGGGATTCTGGATCAGTCCCATGCTGGTTTCCCAGCTATCAGTCTGGGGAGCAAGAGTCAAGAATTGCTTTTATTTCTTAATCCTTGGCTATTTGAGAGGACATGCAAACTCACTTGATAACAATTGCACACAGAAAGAAGTAGTGTCATGTGGCCTCAAGCAATGTGAAGCAAAAAATCTGAACCAAAATACCTCAGGAAAAGCTTCATTCTTGGGCTATGATTATAGATTTTCATAAGTCATCTATCCAAAGCTGAGACCACTCAAGAGCCACAATTTAAAAATCAGAATGGGCTTTGCATCTAGTCCTGAGCAACATGCTTTTGGATTCTTACTACCTTAACTTAAGCAGCCCTCTCAGAAATATGAGTGGTGTCTAATATTGGGCCTACATTCCAGTATCCATCATTACTAAAGAACTAATTTAGAAAAATCTTTTATCTTTTGTAGTAATTGCATTTGTGCTTTGAAATGTGCTTTTAATTCTTTGTTAGGGCAATGTGTTGTTGTGTTGTTTAGTTTTGGGTTTTTTTGTGGGGGATTTTTTGGCACAAGAGGATACAAAGAAAATTAATGAACACAATAACTTAAAAGAATTCATATATATACAATTCCCTCTCTTTGTACAGCCTAATCATTCATGTACTGGGTGTTTGGGGTGTCTTGCAAAATGTGATGCGGTTTACACTGGATTTACAACATAAGTCCTATTCTAAGTGGTAATGGGATGTTGTCCTGAGGCTTTGTCCATCTGCATGGTAAGGATGGGTCAGGGAATTCCAAGTAGCAGCATATTAGGGAATGACAAGGAAGGAGTTAGAAAACCTCTCTACATCCTCTTCAGTAGCTTCCTGCCCTGCCTGAAGCATTACAGAAGTTTCTGTCTGTATTGCAGGATCAGGACCCCTCAGTCTGGGCCACAGTGCTGGCTGTGCTCTGGCTGCATGCCAATGGCAAAGACTTGAAGTGTGAGTGGGAACTTCTGGAAAGGAAGGCAGTGGCCTGGCTCCATGACCATGCAGGTAAGAGCAAAGCATCCATCTCTCTCTCCTTCCCAGGTTAGTTTCAGAGCTATGCCTGTAAGTGTACCAGAGGGTGAGTCCCCATAGTTGCCCCTACAATGGTATCTCAGAGCATTTTCTGTCCTTTTAGCTAATCCTTTCTCTTCAGGATTATGATGAAATATGCAGTTGGTGACTGGGACAAGCTGTTCAGAGGGAAGGAACATAGATGTGGATGCTTAGCTGAGTAAGACTAACCCTAGACATGTAACTAGTACTCCTGGAGGTTTGTTGTATCCTTATTGCTGGGTTCCTGTTGACACAAAACAATAAAGGAGACTCAGTACAAGTCAAGGGGCAAATCCATGGTACTACAGGTATCTAAATCAGGGCTGAATGGGATGTAAAGAATAATTGAGAAGGCTCATGAAAAAGCCCCCTCTTCCCCTATAGTACAGTTCTGACCCTTGTTTTCCTTCTTCACAGACTCCTCCAACCCCATGCTAGTGCAAGCTGCCAATAGTTTTCTGAAACTGTCTGTGACTCCCGATGACCTTGTCTTCTGAGACTGCAACCCAAGAATCAAGAGTATCACTTTATTATGACTATGTCCCTCCCATGTCCCTTGGCAGAGATAGCATTTGGTTTTTATCTTTACCTTTTTCATTCTTCTCATAACAATAAAGGCTATCTGCCCAGGCTTGCTAATCTATTCCAGAGCCCATTGGATCTGATATACTATCCCATCATTTCACCAGTGAGGAATTATTATGGTCTCCCATCATGTCATATGCAGAATGACACTTGAAGATTTACAGAGAAATTACAATAAAATAAGTGGCATGAAATTTTGAATAAGCACTGTAACATTGATCCTACGCCATGCCTGATTTAATAATCTGCATTATTGTTTTCTACTCTCTTTGTTTTACAGGATCTTCAGAAAAAAGGTGATATTCTATTTGAAGCAACAGAGATTAGAATGAAAACTGAAAGGCAACATAATGATAAATGCAAGTTCAAAAAATCAAAGACAAAATCTATACATTGCACTATTGTAGAATGGCTATGGATATCTTGGGTAGATTCTGCTAATATTTTTGACTCCATGCCAAGATGACTACATATCTTTATTTTCATTACCTAAGTAACTTTGTTTAGTAAATACTAGGATATCAATATTTCTTCTTACTTTTGAGATGGTTGCATGTCCTCAGACTTAGCCTGTGCTATGAGGTTCCTAACCAGATTCAAAAGGAGCATTAGAGAAGAACAGCTAGCATTGAAATGATTATGTCCATCAATGTTCTTTCTTTTCCTTTTCTGCCACTATGGGAAAATAGCTGAGAAAATTAACTCTAGAAAGAAAAAAGTTGGATGGGGGATGACAGAGTGGGTTAACTGCATATTTACTAGCAGAGGACCTGAGATTAGAAACCCAGAGTCTATACATTAAGTTGGTATTAGAGTTACCTATTATCCCAGCACTAGCAGACACAGAGAGAAGATCCCAGGACCTCACTAGCAAGCCCAGCTTGACAATGGGTGACCTGCAAGCTCAATGAGAAAGTCTTATTCCCAAATAAACAGAGAGGAATAGAGGGAGAAACCAGTTCTTTTCTAAGCAGTTACCTAGGTAATACTACTGTAAATTGCAAATGAATAAGCTTGGTAAATCTACAACGGGAGAAAGTTAAGAACAATTAGCAGACAGCAGGTAGGCACAAAATGTCATCAAATCTGGAACTTACAACATCTTTCAGAAGTGACTAGGAAAGCATAGTTGAGGCAGCCAGCTAGAGTTCCTCATGTACAGTTAGGGGCAGAACACTGCATCTCCTTGGGTGAGATTGCTAGTAAAAAAGCCCCCAGTCAAGGTGTCAGATAGACAGAAATACATCAGTAATCTGGGAGTTTACAATGTCTGAGTGAAATGACTAGAGAAGCCTGGCTGAAAGTCAAGCTGGATTTCCTAAACCAGGGGTCCCCGGGACACTATCTTTGAAAGAGCTTCCAGTGTCTGCTTCCCAAGTAGGCATTTTATATCACGGAGTTAAGAATAGTATCCGAGCTAGAAAATGATTTATATTATACCTGTTCTCAGATTCCCATTGTTTTTTTGGGCACTTTGTTGTTTGCTGTTCTTCTCCTCCCTTCTGTCTTCACTCAGCCCAAAGAATCTTAGAAGACAGGAGATAAACAGTGTTAATTTGTGATACTGGCAGTCCATCTCGTTCTTTGAGTCTCATAGAAAAAAATGTCCTTGCCTAAAGAAGAACATAACTATAAAAATACAAGAATCTTGAAGAAACCAAATAGATAAGATCAGAAAAGAAATAATAATCAAAACAGAAAACAAAGTCATAACATTAAAGAGTAAAAAGCATTAAACCAAGTAATATATAAATGCAGACTATTAGAATTCACCCAGTTTGTCAATACCACTCTAAAAGGACCTGGATTGATATCTTGCAGACTCTAGGAGATAAGAGGTGTCAGCCAATATTAGCACATCTACTATGAATTTCAATCAATATGAATAGAAAACAGGATATTCCATGATAAAGTCAAATTTAAACATATCTGTACACAAATCCATTACTACAGAAGATTCTATAAAAAAACTTCCAACCCAAGGATGTTAACTGTACCCATAAAAATACAGGCAATAAATAATCAAACACAGGAAATCCCTAAAAATGGAAACACACACACAAAGACACAAACTACCACCACTACCAACATAATAGCAGGGGTTAACAATCATTGATGATTTATGTCTCTGAATATTAATGATTGAATTCCTGATAAAAAGACACAGACTAACAGTATGCATGCAAAAATAGTATCCATCCTTCTGTTGCATACATGAAACAAACCTCAACATCAAAGATAAACATTACCTGAGTAATAGAATAGGCAGAAGAGGAGGACATGAGGGAGTAGGAAGACTGAGTCAGGGGAAGAATAGAGGAGGGTAAGAGAAGAGATAACATAATAGATGGAGTATTATAAGTATGAAGGGAAATCTGGCTCTAAGGAAAATACCATAAATCTATAAGGATTACCCCAACTAACAATGTAAGCAATAGTCCAGTGGCTACCTTAAAAGCCCCTTTTTCCAATAAGAAGATTGATAACTACCTTATATGTCATCCTAGAGCCTTCATCCAGTAGCTGATGGAAGCAGAATCAGAGTCCCACAGCTAAACACTGAACTGAACCCAATGATCTCCTTGAATTCAGTTGCAGAGAGGGAGGAGGGAGGAGCAAATGGGTCTAGACCAGGCTGGAGAAACCCACAGAAACAGATGACCTGAACAAGTGGGAGCTTGTTACAGACCTTCATGTGGAAAAAATAAACCCAAACAGAAATAAAGGATAGATAAAATAATAAAAGAACTTCTGTATGTTTCACTATCCCTGATTTCAAGTTCTACTACAGTGCTATAGTAATAAAAATAATATGTTATTGCCATTAACCCAGGTAGGTGAATCCCTGGAATACAATCATAGACCTAGATGTAAAAATCCTCACATTTATTGACACCTGATACTTTTATTTTAATTTAAATTCTTTAATTACTACTCATATTTACATATCTATCCCCCCATTCCCTCGCTCTCCCATCCTCCCTTGTTCTCCACCAATCCCCCCACCCATTCCCAAACTCCTCCCCAGGGATAGTGAGGCCTTCCACCAGGGACCTTCAAAGTCTGTCATATCATTTGGGAGAGGGTCTAGGCCCTCCTTGCTGTATCTTGGCTGCAATAGTATCCCTCCATAGGGAATGGACTCCCAAAGTCCATTTGTGCTCTAGGGTTAAAGACTGGCTCCACTGTTAGAGGTCCCATAGACTGTCTTGACCTCCTAGTGGGCACCCACTTTCAGAAGGCTTTGTTTGGTCCAATGCTGTTTCCGCAGCATTATGACTAGTGTCTCCATGTTCTCAGTAGGTCAGGTCAACCTTTTAAGCGGGTTTCTGCACACTGTCTTTGCTTCTTTGCTCATCCCTCCTTCCTCTCCACAATTGGATTCCAGGGATATGGTTCAGTGCTTAGCTGTGGGTGCCTCTATCTGCTTCAAACAACTACTGGATGAAGGCTCTAGGAATGGTAACCAAGGTAGACACCAATCTCATTATTGGGAAAGGGTATCAATGGCAATTTCTCTACCACTGCTTGGATTCTTAGTTGGGGTCATCCCTATGAATCCCCTAATATTTCCCCTGTGCCAGACCTCTCTCCATGCCTGTATTGTTTCCCTCTATCAAGGCATCTCCTTTCTTGCCCTCCTCTCTTCCTCCCCTCTCTCAGGCCTGTTGTTCTCCTCCCCCCTTCTTCCCTTCCCACCTCCTTCCTCTCCACCCACACCCCATGATTCCCCTTTGTTCAGTGGTTCTCATCCCCCTCCCTTTCATCGAGGTACTATGCAGTCTTCTCTTGGGGTACTCCTTGTTTCCTAGCTCCTCTGGCAGTGCGGATTG